GGGGGGGGGGGGGGGGGGGGGGGGGGAGGGGGCGGGGGCTGACCCAGAGCACCAACAGCTATCTATTTCAACTGGTTTCTGCCGTCAACCTAGCATGCCAGGAATATTAGAAATTGGAAATACTCTCCATTTCAAAGACAAGCTTAAGTCCCTCTGGGCACATCATCGTCTGCCAATGATTGGCTCAAAACGTCTCACGACGAGGCTACTCGAACTAAAAGAACAAGCTATTGGCCAAGCAGTTGACAGACGACTTTTAGCATGCACAGAGATGACGATGAGTTTACCCTGATGAGGGGGAGCCTTATCGGGGTGTTGGTCAATCTGTAGAAATCGCCTGCACCCCGGCAAGTTCCTCAGAGCTTCACCCAGGTAAGCTGAACGAGAAAGAAGCTCGTATTCTAATTTCCAGGAATTCGAAGATATTGCCGCAATCGGAGTCCGTAAGCAAGTCCTCGCTATTAAAAAAAAAGTGACATTTAGTTCCCCACTGAGGTATGGTATTTAACAAAACTCTCTTTCGACGAGCAAAACCTTTAAATTGTTGAATGGGAAACTCAGAGGCGTGTCCATTGTGCAATTGCCTCTGATATGGATCCGTTTTGGCTGAAACATGCATAACTTGAGATATCTGAAAAGTTGTGCTAGAACTTCGGTATCTTTTTCTTTTAGATATATTAAAAAATAGACATATGATTAAAAAACAGTTGACGAAAAGGCCTGCCAAGTCAAAGTTCTATTATCTCTCCCAAGCAAGGCATTGAGCTTGGCTTGCCATCAGCAACAGATATCCGTGCTTGTCGACCAAAAAAACGTGAAAATTAGCCACGTGATTCAGTCGAGTAAGCATCGAGCGCCAAAAACAGTATAGGAAAGAAGACAGTTCAAAAGGGCGTGATAGCGAAATGAGCCTTTGGGTGCTGAAAGCTCTTCTGAAACCTTGAGTGCAAATTGATCTTTTTCGGAGTTCCCGATTGAGCGACGGGGAGCAGGGACGTAGCCAGGAATTATTTTCGGGGCTTGTGAGCCTCTTTCAGGCTCGTGAAGTGGTCCAGGAAGGTGAGTCGTTGGGAGGAATGAGGAACACTTCGAAAGCCCTTTCGGGGTTTCAACCCCACCCACCTCATGGTTCAAAATAGCCCCTTCTCTTCCCAAAATTTCACGTTTTTTTGCAGGAAAAGAAATATGGGTCAGAGACTGACCTTGAATTAGTCATAATTTAGTGGGTGAGAGCTACTCCTGAATCATGGTTTGCTCCTAGAACTCAAAAAACAGGTGGCGCTATGGAAGTGAAATGGAGGGCGCCATATTGGTGTGATTGTATTCCATATAGGAGTGATTGTATTCAAAAGGTGGAATAGGAGTACAAGTCGAAACTTCAGTTGTGCATGTGAAACTTTTCACACTCCCCCCCCCCCCCACTTCCAAACACCCTGTTTCATGAAATCTTGCTTCATTTCGGGGGTGTCCAGACACCCAGGACACCCATTCCCCCCTGGCTACGTCCCTGGTGGAAAGAGAACGACTGAAAGACTGTCAGGCGACTTTTCCCACAGCTCGCGACCACCTCCGTCGGCTGGAGGGAGCTCGCGCTTCGTGTAGCTGGAAGGCAACCAGGGCGACGTGTGGAGGTGGATGTCACATCCACTTCTCCATTGTGGACCGCGAAACGAACGAAACGGAGGAACAGCTCACGTGGCTCTTGTAGTCGGAGAGCATGGGCATCTCGTAGACGGTGAGGTTGTAGAATCCCCGGCCGCTCTCGTCCGAGGGGGCCCAGAAGGGTTGAGGGACTCCGTTCAGGAACGGCCTGTTCCCCGCAACCGGGTGCCTGCACAGGGTCTCAGTCGTCTTTTCATCGCGAACGGTTAAGAGGACGGTCAAGCGAAGGTAATCGACGAAACCAGAGACGAGAGCGTTTTCTGCGTCAGGGACTAATTGCAGCCAGGCCCGATTTTGCCCGATTAACGGATTCCTTTCATAATGATACCAAATATATTCTCGGCGCGTCGGTCCGTGCTTCGCCGCAAAAGTTTGAAAGAATCGACTGCCTCGACCGCGGTGAAAATTGGCACGCGAACGTGCAAAGTCTGAGGCTCTTTCCGGTTGTTCGCGCCGGGATTCGGCGAGCAAACCTTCGCGTAACCAATCAAAACCGAAGATGATCAATCACTGGGGTTAGCGAACGAGCACAGAATTTGAATCCGTTCCCATTCCAGTGATCCGATTTCCGGTGAAAGGAGAATCGCCTGCACCGCATACGTCATGAAGCGGTTAAAGGCCTTCCTTCGAAGGCCTTCAACCGCTTCCTTGAGGCGGTGGCACGGCGCACGCAAAGGGAAAGGACGGAATCGATCCTGACGAGTTTCGATGAATCGCGAGGGAGCTGATGAATCGCGAGGGAGCTGATGAATAGCGAGGGAGCTGACGACCCTCATCCACGCCTCGCGAGGCGGAATGCGGGAAGGTCGGGGTATGTGGGTCGCGCGATGCCCGCTTTCGCCGGGAAACTGGGCTTTAAGAAAAAAGGATGTTTCCCCGGCCTTCGAGAGGTTCACTCGGTTCGCACCAGATGTCTCTCGCGAGCGAGCGTCTTGCGTTTTCACGCCCCGCGGAAGCAGCCAGGTCTCCGCGGTCTCGAAAACGCTGCAAAACCGCACATTTCGCTGGCGCTTTTCTAAAACGCCGACATCGATCGACGCGACATCTCGAGGAAGACAAAGTCGATTGAAACACGATCCGCCAGCGCCAAGACAATTTTTTTGGGCGCTCTTTGCTCTCCCCCGTTCGGTACAATGACCAAAAAAAAATTTGCATTCAGTAGGGCAGAATATGTTGCAAAAAATTTCGCGTCCGCTTTGAAATTTGCACGTGCATTGACTTAGCACCAAGATAAATAAATAAAAACTTTTTGTGATGTAAATAAATGTTTAAATAATATTACTAAATTTCAGAAACTCACCCGATGTTGACGAAGTTGCTCCAGAGCCAGGTGAGTTTGAGGGACATGATGTCAGGGCGCTTGGAGGGCGGGCCGTGGCCGCCCGCCACCAGCGGGAAGGGCGCTCCCGGGTGGCCCCCCGGGTGCCCTCCAGGGTGCACCCCGGGGTGCACCCCCGGCGGCGGCACCCCGAAGTAGCCGCCCAGGGGGATCCGGAACATGAACGGCAGCTCGTCTCCGTGCGCCGTCGCTAGAATACATTTTAAGTGAAATTGAAATTTATGTAAACTTACAATTTAAAAAAATTACTTAACATTATTAATTAACTGTAAATTTGCATCAATTTTAATTTTTCTAGGGAACGACATTTGAATTCGAAATTAACTTGGAAATTGCAGAGAGTAATCTTTGAATCATATTGCTTTCGTGAAATGGTCGTCTGACTAAAGTCTGAAGTAAATCAATTGCAATTAATCGATTAATGAATTGATCAAAGGTCGACGAATGAAGGCCGAAATTGGTAGGTTCGAAATTGAAGCCGACTGGCTGCACAATTAAAGATCACCGTCGCCCCGTTCGACAAGTATTGGGTGAGTAACGAGTGTGAAATGTGTGTGTAATGTGTACGTAATGTGCGTGTAATGTGCGTGTAATGTGTGTGTAATGTGTGTGCATAACGGGTGCATACCGTAGTAAATACTGCTAACCGGAGTCGTTCTACGGGCAACCTTCATCTGCGGGGACATATCGATTCCGTTCCGGAATGGGGGAAATGGGTCGGGAGAAACAGGTGCCCTGAGATGCATCCCCTCCGAGCGCTCGAGAGGGTTCTTGCGGTTTGGGAGCAACGCGGTTGGAAGCCGCTTGCATGTCTAATACTACCTGCTATCGTGGAGTAATCACGTCTTCCAATTTTGAGATCAACTTCTGCTTCATAACAATTAAATGATACGGAAAATGATTTTGAGCCATGCACGGGATGCAGATACCTTTCCCCCTTT